CGTATCCACGGTCTCCTATTTGTATTACTTTTCCAGATGACATGTTGACTAATCTGTCCTTACCCTGGATTATGTGAGTGCAAGTAAGGCTGTTTAGACTCCGCAATGCAGTTTTTATTTCTTTCCTTTCATGCCATTCCTATAATGTTTTCCATTTCATTAATCCCCTAAACTATTTCTCTCAACTTCATGACCACCCCTCCCCCTCTATTCTGATATCTAGACCACCCCCTCCCCCTATAATGTTWGGGGGAGGGGGGAGGCGCCATATAGGCATGATAAACTACTCCTGCATGTCAATTACCGATTTAATACGAGCCACCCTCAGGACCTTACACTTAGTGACATTAAAAGTCATTCCCCACTTACAAGACCAGGACCAAGGATTAAGCGAAAGCAATTGGAATCATCCACAAAAAGAGGCAATGATGTATTTTTTGAGATTACACTAGGCAGGTCATTGATAAAAAATACAAAGAGAAGTGACCCTAAAATTGACCCTTGGGGGACCCCAGATGTAATAGGAAGAAAATCTGAACTAGCATTATTTAACATAACCCTGAGTCTCCTGCCAGTTCGCACTTCAGCGAAAATATTAGTAACTTTTATTCCTACTCTTTGATTATCCCAAACATTTATTTCCTTTTCTTAATAGTCCTTTGCTGGTGACTTCGACTCTAATACTACAGTCAAGAATCTTTTGTATGATGGTACTGTTAGTCAGTACATACGTGTTGCACCCACAAGTCATTATGGGAGTACAAGTTGCATGAGAACAGAACTCTATGGAATAAAACACGATGGAGGTACTGTATATCTTTGCAGAAGAAGTTATTTCATTACCATTTCTCAACTTTTTTCTCTTGTTTTCACATTGAAAAGACAATAAGCTAATCGCCTATTCATTTGGTAGCCTTTAAATATGGCGTTTTTGTGTCCTTAAACCATGCGGGTTTTGGTGGATATAGATGACGCCATGCTTAAAAGCTATATTCTGACACAAAACCACAGGGAGCCCGGCTATATGTTTTGCTTCTTTTAGAAAATTAACTTTCCTCTTTGTGGGTTTACTGTGTTGTGTGCATAAGGTGTAATCAGATCTGCGCGCTGTAATCAGATCGGCGCTGTAAACTGACAGCCAATTAAATTCAAATCAATAATTGTGGTAACGCACTCTCTAGTAAACACTCCTCTTTTGAGTGTTTACTAGAAAGTGCGTTACACATCACAGGCAACCCATAAGAAACAAAACGTCAACGGGCTGTCAGTCCGTCATTTTACTAAGGGGTCTGGGATAGGGTCAGGGTTTTGAGGTCCTAGAGGAAAGCATGAGGTGCGACCCCGTGCTTTCATCAGTTTCTCGGTATTTGGACTCCCCTGATAAAACACTCGCACTCGTATTTGATCTATTACAAACAAAGGAATCGCACTTTTACTTGGAACTACTCAATGAAGAATGACAATACTGATCATCAGTTTTAATTCGAGTTGTAGATCTGAATATGTCATGCTCCCTACAGTAAAATTCACTGAATATATATGTGTGATTTGATTTCCAGCACATAATACAGTAAGGACACCTTATTTAGTGTTGGTATTTTTCTTTCACAGTCTGTACATCCATGTTTGTTGGTTTATCATACTCAAGTATCATCCCAGATCACAGGTTTACTGCCAGTTCATATTATGATAGCCGTTATGAACCAAGCTTTGCAAGACTTTTAACATACAGTAAAGCCTGGGGACCACGAGCAACGTCTGGTGCGTGGTTACAGATAGACCTTGGTCCGGTGGTGTATGTGTGTGCTGTGGCTACACAAGGCGCTGGTGCTGATCTTCAAAACGAGTTTGTAAGAAATTACAAAATAAGTGTGTCCTTGGATAATGTGAATTGGAATTATTACCAGGAAGAAAATATTACCAAGGTAAATATGTAACGAGATACAATATAAGAGTGTCCTTAGATATGTGAATTGGAATTATTACCGGGAAAGTAACGATGAAAAATTAAATACATAACATTATACAAGATAAGATTGTCCTTGGGCAGATTGATGTGGGCAAGAATTAACGTATTGAACACGTTTATTAGTATATGTAATAGGACTCCATGCTGTCCAATTAAGAAATAATTGGACGAGAAAAATTCCGAGGACTGACAAAATTGGATGAGGCCGTAGGCCGAGTCCAATTTGGTAGTCCTCGGAATTTTTCGAGTCTAATTATTTCTTGATTGGGGAGCATGAAATCCCATTACCTATTAATTATATAGCTGCGTAATTAATCCCATATCAACAAGACCTGTCCAATTAGTATAGGAAATCGCACGATCTCGAGTACAATTTGGAAATTAATAGACACGAGTAATGTTTTGAAAGTTCTTGTAATTGCACGAGCCTTTAGGCGAATACAATTAAAGAACTTTCAAAACATTACGAGTGTCTATTAATTCCAAATTGTACGAGAAGATCGTGCGATTTTTTGTTTATAGTTCACTCAACAAAATTTCAGTAAGAAATGCGAAGCGACGCCGTTCATCTTTGTCTATTTGATTTTCAGTCCATCGCGCAACTGAAATGCATAAAATAGATTAGTTCTTACGGCTTTAAAATTTTATTTATGTTTTTTAAGTGCAAAATGATAGAAAAGAATTGTTTTGACATTGTTTTGGCCGTGTTGCCATAGCGACTTGATTCGGTACTCCTACGGAGTACAATTAACGCTATAATTGTACTCCTCTCGACCAATCAGAGTCGAGTAATTTTGAGTGTACTATAAAGAAAATAATCGGACAGTTACCTATATGGGATTAATCAGAAGCTGTATGATTATATATATAACAAGAATTCCATAGCGTGAAGCCTATGAATATAAATCTATATTTTCATGTGAAAAACAGTGATACGTCCAATCAGCGTCGCGTATAGCATTTTCCACAGTTGAAAAATATAATATAATATAACCAATCAGAATCGTCGATAAATTCCTCAGTCAATCAGAGAACGAGAAATAACCATTTACTGGCTTACTGGTCAGAGGAAAAAGCTGTTGTTTTTGAAAGTTGACGGGCTGTTTTCTGTCCAGTTGTTGCGAATTTCTCGAGGAAAAACAACAGTAAAAGCCTTTTAGTAAACAAAGAAGAAGATAGCCTTTGCTGTAAGGGTATTTGAAGCCAGAAAAATCAGAGAAAGACGTCTAAATATCAAAACGAACGAGCTAGTGGTTTCTACTTCTCGCCGAAAGGTGGAGGTTTCAAGCTAAAAACTGTGCCGTCCTTGAAGACTTTATCTAAAAATGTGTCTTGATGCATTAATCCTTTAGAAAACCTGGAGATAGACTAGCAAAGAAACGAAAAAGCAGAAAGTATTTTCTTTTCTCGCAATTTTCTTCCCGAGGATTCAACAGTTTGGCTTCAGCTTTCAAAAGTTGTAGACTCGATGTTTTTTCTTTTCTTTTTTGATATGATTCAAACACTTTATATTACGATAGTCTTTACCTTCAAAGGTCTAGTTTCATTCTGTCTTACTAAGTCTTTTACTACAGTATATTTAAAAAAATTATGGTTTTTGTTTGCATAAGATTTGTCGGTGTATTTTTGGAGTTTACAAGTTTACATCCACGCACGCTTTGAACACAAGTTTAGATTCGAGAAAAATAAAATCATTTTTTATGCCAAAAAATTCTCGTTATATATATAATAAACAGATAACACCATAGAAAGTGCTTTGTACAGGATTATATTCACTCGTTTGTGTAAAACACTCACTCGCTCGTGCCTCGCTCGTTCGTGCTTTACACAAACAACTCGTGAATATAATCCCGTACGTCGCACTTTCTATGAAGTAATCTCTATTTACCATGCAGTAAATAGAGGATATTACATGGGTGCGCGGAGATACCAATTTTATCTTCGAGTGTTCAATTGATATCTCACGAGTGAGCGCAGCGAAAGAGTGAGATATCTAAATTGAACACGAGAAGATAAATTTCGTATCTCCAAGCGGCCATGTGATGTTCTGTTTATTATATAGATATCGATGAAACTTAAATAAAAAACAAAAGCTCAAAAATTCCTTATTAAAATACGCTACTATGTCAACAGCGATATCTTCACGTGTGAAAGATATGGTATCTTCCACTGGTGAAAGATATCAAGTTTTCGACACTAGAGAAAACCTGGTATTTCATCAATATCTATATGATAAAAGAGAGTATATTATTTGCAGGTGTTTACTGGAAACACAGACCGCACTGCAATTGTAACAAATAAACTCAAAAACCCAGTCAGGGCAAAATTTATACGACTCTACCCTACACACTTCAGAAGCCATCCAACAATGAGAGCTGAGGTTTATGGGATTCCATCAGGTTAGGTTTACACAACTATCAGAGAAATGAATAGAGATTTTGCACCATCACGTGACAGCAGCCATGTTAGATGGCAGGAACATTGCAATCGTTTTACATGAGAAAGCATTCAATTCCCGAGAGCAAAGGAATTTTATTATATTCTGTCTTCTAACCACAGGCAGCCCAAGCTGTATTATGGGAGTGGGCATGTGATGGTGGAAAACCCCTATTGAAATCTCTAACAAATTCTTTGAATTGAAAGGTGAATAAGGCAAGCGTGCACTCAAATTATCTTTGTCTCTCATTACATTGATTTTGATGACTTTTGACCAATATATAAGAGTGGTTACACTGCACCTCATTTCATAGCGCAAAATGAAAGAAATTTTCTATTTTAGGAAATGAAATCTCTTGTCATCCCAAAAAAGTGCACTGTTCCTGTCCTCCAACGTTGGCGGTGTACGTCTTGAAACCCATGTATTGAATTAGTGCTAACATTATGTTAAACGAGTTTATATCATTATTAAGTGATTATTTTTTCACTTAGTTTTTGAAACATTTGGTTAAAGCTTGCAGTTCTCCCGTTGGACTTGAGACACCTGGTCTAATTCAAAACAGTCAAATGACGTCATCTTCTAACCTTGACAATTCCCATACTGCATCATATGGTCGTCTCTATGGCAACGGTGCATGGTGTAGTAGCACATCATCTAACACTCAGTACTTACAGATTAAACTGGGACAAATGATGACAGTGACAGGTGTAGCAACACAGGGTGACCACACCATGGATAAGTGGGTTATTACCTACACTATCAGTTACAGTATGGATGGCAATCTGTGGAAAACCTACAAAGCTGGGAGTAACAGTGATAAGGTAGAAACTGATGTGAAATATTTTATTGAAATGCTTCTATCAATCAAGGTTTCAGTCAAAGTTTCAGCTAGTTACTTGACAGTTAAGTAAATAATTGTTATTTCATCAGATACTCTTAGGAAACAGTGACAAAGATACTATTGTAGTGCAATGGCTAAGTCATCCAGTGACAGCCAGGCATGTTCGAGTTACACCACAGTCATCGAAAACTGCTATATGTATGAGAATAGAACTGTATGGATGTGCCTATGGTAAGTACAGACAAGGAATACTGCTATATGTATGAGAATAGAACTGTATGGATGTGACTATGGTAAGTACAGACATGAAATACTTCTATATGTATGAGAATAGAACTGTATGGGTGTGACTATGGTAAGTACAGACATGGAATACTGGTATATGTATGAGACTAGAACTCTATGCATGTGACTATGGTAAGCACAGACATGGAATACTGCTATATGTATGAGAATAGAACTGTATGGGTGTGCCTATGGTAAGTACACACATGGAATACTGCTGTATGTATGAGAATAGAACTGTATGGATGTGACTATGGTAAATACAGACATGGAATACTGCTATATGTATGAGAATAGAACTGTATGGATGTGACTATGGTAAGCACAACATAAAACCTTTGTTTACAACATCTTATGACATCTTATATGTATTTTCAGTTACCAGACCAGTGATATCAGGTCTGACCAATCAAAACCTTACAGCAGCATCCAATAGCTATGTAGATCTGGTGTGTATTGTACAAGAACCATTAATACAGTACATCAAATGGTACACTGGTGATACTGACATCACCAGTCAATCTACTGGTATGGTGCGTGGTGCTAATGGAGTCAAGAATTCTACGTTGAGAGTTAACTACACATCTGCTGATGATGTACTCAATAACTACTAGTAAGTACATAGTTAAATTGAATTAATTAAGACTAGTTATATATGAAGTATTCTAATTTCTAAATGACTAACCAGTGCAAGGCACTTGAGAAGGCTCTTTTCAAGACCCTATTTAATTTATCTACAGTTGTCATGACTCAGTGTGCAGCAAAGCATATGTCTGTAGAACGATGTATGAGAATATCAAGACTACCGCAGATGGAATAAGAAGTGCAGGAGTGACCATAAAACTTGGTAAGCCGTTTGTCATTACGTTTGCCACTAACCTTCAAATTTTTTCGAGCCCTGAAACAGCCTCTGGGCTGATAAAAGTCATGGCACAGATAACTCACAGATCAAAACCTAAAACAACATCTGGGCTGATCTAAGTCAGAGCTCGGATAACTAACAGATCGAATTGTAATTTAGCGGAGAATGGAAAAAATGGAGAACTCGGAGAAAAGCTCTTAAATTAAGGAAGAGGCTATTTGCCACTGACAGCAAAATTAGGGAAAGAAGTTAACTAACTTAACGTAAAATCACTCAACTACATCCCACAACAAATGGCATACACAATTATGTGATATTTTATCCCATGATTCTTGTTGATCTCACGTTTGAGCTTTAATAGACGACTTGCACTAAGAGGTCACGTGATCAAATCGGCCATTGTGGCTGGCATTTTACAGGATTTTAGCTATGCGAGAATGTAAAAAAAGATGGCGATTCGGGATGTTTTTTTGGTGATAAAAGGTAAGTTAGCGCAGTAAATAACACTAAGAATCCCCTGTTCTTGCAAGAAATATATTCTTAGTAGATATCTAAAGTAGATTTTTGCTATTAACTCGCCAAAAAGAGAAAAAATATGGTATTTAGTCTTGTTTTGGTGTCTTCATGACCTCAAAACATATACAATATTTTTCCTCTTTCTGGCGAATGAATAGCAAAATTCTACTTAAAATATCTATTAAAAGTATATTTCTTGCAAGAAAAAGGCAGTTTTCAAGAATGAAGTTGAAATATGCTTGAAAAGTTTCGACAAGAAGTCGTTGTTTTGAGGTCATGAAGCAGGCAAAACAAGACTAAACACTTCGTAGGTCTTCACATTGTAGCGCAAAATATACCATATTTTTTCTCTTTTTGGCGAGTTAATAGCAAAAATTTACTTTAGATATCTACTAAGAATATATTTCTTGCAAGAAAAGGGGATTTTTATAGTTATTTAGTGCGCTAACTTACCTTTTGTCACCAAAAAAACTACCCGGATCCGCCATCTTTTTTTACGTTCTCGCATAGCTAAAATCCTGTAAAATGCCAGCCACAATGGCCGATTTGATCACGTGACCTCTTAGTGCAAGTCGTCTATTTATCAGTTAGACGACATAATAGCGCGCGCCCATGGCGATATAGACGCACGAGAGAAAATATAAAGAATGATTAACAAGCGAAAGAGTGGCACCAGGCGAAGCCGAGTGACACTCTAGCTTGTTAAGAGTTCTTTATATTTTCTCTCGTGCGTCTATATCGCCATGGGCGAGCGTTTATTTGTCGTCTAACTTATTTATAATATGATCAACAATCTATCTTCGCGCGCTATTGACACCATCGGGTTTGAAAATTTAGAGAAAAAAGGCGAGCGTCCGTTGAGATCAGCGTGCGCGAGCGTGCAGCCCATGGGGAAATAGTTCATTGGTTTTTGGCCAATCAGAGCACGCGTAATAATCTAGTTATATTATAAATAAAATTAATACAGATTATTATGATAAAGAAAAAATCTCGTCCTCGCTTCGATTCATTTAGGAATATCAATATAAAAGGAATAAAAAGTAGTTAATTTTTTATCATTGGGTAACCTTATATTGATATACTAAGGATAAGTATTTCCCATTGCAGATTACCCAAGTATCCTAGCAGTACCAACAGTCCATGACATCAAATCAACCTCAGTAACAGTTAGATGGATCCAACCTGCGCTGAACGCATCCCAGGCTAGTGTGACAACATACCTGTTACAGTATCAGAACATTACACATACACAGACCATAAGTGTGTCAGCTCATGCAACTAGTCACGTGATCACTGGTCTTGCTATCTATACTAACTACAGTGTTCAGATAAAAACGATCAGTGGAGTTGGTTTTGGACAATGGAGTGCGACCACAAACTTCAGAACACTCCCAGCTAGTAAGTTGAAATACTTCTAAAATATCATTTGAATTAACGGATTTTTACATATTTCGTTACTAAGGAGCTATCGTTGCTAGATGGTTTTCGTATGCAGTTCCGTATCTTTCGTTGACGACCATGTTTAGTATTTTTCTGCTACCATATCGTTATGGTTTAGTGATATAAATGATCACGTAAACAGTCTCCTGTGGTTATTGTTTTCTTTGAAGATCACTTCTATACGTTTTTGAAATTATCAAAAGTGTGGTAATTCTGCCCCCGGAGATATTCCTTGTGTTGATGGATTTTTACAAGTATACGTCTTGTGCTCAGTCACCCTCGTTTTCACATCACTCTCGGTCTCTTCGTAGTTATAAACAGCAGCTTAACGAATAATGGCAGACAAGTAAGATTGCCATATGTCAGTAGAATGATAATGCAGTTTGGGTTTTAAAAAAATCTTTTATCTGAACTAGCTGGGTGCTGAGAGAACACGAGGGATGTGTAGGAAACCATGACGTGACTCTTTTTTTGTAATAACAATGCAACACAATAACGAAAAAGGCCTAAAGTAAGCACGATGTTGATCATTGTTTCATAGTACATGATCCTTTTTCTTCTTCCTTTAGTACCTGTGGGTTTTCCAAATTCTGTGACAGCTGTGGCTAAAACATCCCAAAGTATACTTGTTACTTGGCAGGTAAGTTAAGGCTCTATCTGTGTACAATAATCCAATATATACGTGTTATACTTGGCAGGTTAGTTAAGGTTCAATATCTGTGTACAATCTTCCAGCTTATATTATGCCATAACATCCCAAAGTATACGTGTTACTTGGCACTGAGGTAAGTTAAGGTTAATCTTGGTTCCAACTAATGCCTTAACTTCCCAAAGTATGCGTGTTACTTGGCTGGTAAGTTATGGTTATATCTTGGTTAAGGTTTTTGAGAAAAAAAAACTAAAAATAGCACTGTTTGATTTTGGTCCATAATATGCCAAACACTTAAAAAATCTTAAAATAAAATACGTTAGAATCCAGGATGATGCAAGCACATTATATGAAAAATAGGCGCTCAGTAAGCACATGTGGCTGCCGCCATAAGAAATTATTGTTATACAGGAAAGGAATGGAAGTTGGTAGCTGACTATTGAGATATATGAAGGATATAGGTAATTGAAATATCGGTGTTGCTGAAAAAAAAAAAAAAAATTTGAAAGTCAAGGTTTCTCTGAAAGAGCCCTTTTTGGGGCAGATTGATCGTTAACTTGACCCAAGCGAGCCGCCATCTTTGTTTACTTGACCGTCACTTGGAAACCGGAAGCAAAATTTCAGTCAAATTGTCACGTGATTGCAAGCAAAGAATAGGTTTTTATCAAATGTTGATAATGATTAATTTGGGCTTCCTGTGTTATGCCGATTCATTTTGTGCAACTGTTGCGTGACTGAAACAAAATGGCCGTCATATTTTGAGGAAAGTTTTCCTCGTTTTCTCGATGAAAAAGCCACAGTGTTCTCCCATACTTAGACCAATTTTCCCTTGAGGTCTCTTCTACTTCATATGTGAATCTGTTTGGCGATTAACAGGTATGAGTTATGAAAATATGCTTTGTTTATTTACTCGATAGTTTATACGCGTGACAGAGTTAATTTCACATCACGATGACAACAGTTTACTTACTTTGTAGTAGGCACTAAAAACGACAAGGTATAAAATACAACAGTGCAAAGTACTATAATGTGGTATAAATATTAAGGAGATACTATCAATCCCACTATGGGGCTGAATTATCGAATTATCCTCCGAAGAGGCTCAATTATCCTGCGAAGAAGCTAATTATCCTTCGAAGAGGCTCAATTATCGTCCGGATGAGGCTGATATTTTTTTATCTGCATTTTTTTATCTGAGGTCAGCCATTGGCCAAACATCGGCCTAGAATTTGAATAACACCTACAAAACCTTTCACTTTACCGTATAGAAATACCAAATGAAAGCTGTGATAAATAATATGGTTTAATTTTATGAAAACACGGCCGTTACTTTGTCTTAAACAATCAGGTTCCATTTGTCGTCATCTCTTCTATGTCGCATCGCTTACTCTTCGGTAAGAGGGAGATTATATTATTTAAGCCGTGATTGGTTCCGAAGTTTATTTATTCGGTTACGGACTTTACTTACACAACTCGATGACATAGTGGCTTAGCCGTGATTGGTTCCGAAGTTTATCTATTGTTACGGACTTACAGTACACAACTCGATGACATAGTGGCTTCGCCTCTACGAGGCAGCAGCCACAAAAATCCAATTAAATTGACCCACTAGTTTTGCGAAGCGAACAAGATTAAAATTTATGAAATGTGTTTTCGTCACTCGGTAATGATCTTTATGTTAAGTGTATCGTGCTACATCGAGTGTATAAGCAGATTAAAAAATGTGCCTCAGTTGGGTTCTCGCGGGACTCGAACCACTGTCCAAAATTCGCTATGAATTAGTTTGGTTCCACCTTAAGGTTAATCAGAAATGACTTACATCCAATTTCCCTTTGTCCGTGATGCAAATAATAACCTTAGATTTATTGAACTCTGAAACAACCTCTGGGCTGTACTAACAAGTACTGAAATAAAATATTGCTTGATTGATTGATTGATTGAAATCATATCGAACGGCTGACTCACAGATCGAATCCTGAAACAACCTTTAGACTGATCTGAATCAGGGCACGCCTAACTCACAGATCAAATTGGAATTTAGCTCGCTGCCTGTGGGTTTATTTGAAGAGGTGAAGAAGGAGGGATCGAAACCGGAGAACCTGGAAAAAACTTTCTAATCAAAGGGAGACCTATCAACCAATCTCTACCGTATGTGATTATAGTTTGGTTTTAACGTACGGTTCTTTACTGGTCTCTTTTTAAGGCTCCAACATCTGGAATCAATGGCCCTCTTCGTGGATACAGAGTATTTTGCAGATCAGGAAGTGATAAACATGAAAGTACTGCAACTCCTCAACAAACAAGTCACACGTTCAGTGGTCTGAGAAAGTGGACAGTGTACAACGTCACAGTGGTCATACATAACGATAAGGGAGATGGACCTATCCATAGCTACGTGCTTAGGCGAACATTAGAAGATGGTAAGTTCTTTCAGATGAATTTATACTACATTACTATTCTATGTTCTGAGAATGATATCTCAAAAAATAATTTCTTCCTCGTTCTGCTGTCGTTGTTTTTAAAAGAACACACTCAAATGGACCAAATCCACTTGGGCGTAATGTTTTCCCATTTCAGACGTCTTATTCCCTTGAGAATAAGATTCATGGTTTTAGCTGTATTCATATTTCTTAGTTTCAATAAACAACAGCTTTCGCTCGAAAATAAAGAAAGTAAAACTCATTCGAGTTTTAGTTTCACCAAAAATCTCTTAGACATAACGAATAGTCCCTTTGTTCGGGCCCATAAAGTGATAATTTGAAACTTGTTCTTCGAGTCAGTTACAATTTTATTATTTTAACTTGTTTTCTTCACTCTTCTTAGTAACTGACTAACTAGTATAAAATTCACTTTTCCATATATACATTGGAATAAATTATTTGAAACTCTCGGGACGTTTAATAACTCGTCCTCGCTTTGTCCTTAATACTCTCTTAATCCCTTGTTCACGGGCTTGTACACCTTTTTTCATTCGATAAATACCACCGTGTTTTATGACTAAAGACTCATTTGCACAGGCTTGGTCTCATTTAAAAGACAATATTTAAATCATATTTAATTTGATTAAAGTCAACTATAACAGGCATCCCAGACCTCCTATATATCCTATATTTCCTATAATTTGTATAGGATCCTATAAAGAGCCTATATTTAAAGAAAACCTCCTATATTTCCTATAAATAGGACGACTGCTGACTGATACATTTATATTTTACACTGTTTAGCATATTTGGCGAAGGAAATAAAATGGCCCTTTTTATTTTTTTGTTCTGTTTCTTTAAGGCTTACTAGTTCTGCAAATAAATCATTGNCTTTTTTTGGTTCTGTCTTTTTTTTTTATGGCCGATCCCTGGTTACGCCACCGAAAAGCTATCTTAGCTCCTATAAAGTGCATATATTTTTGGGAAAAAATCCTATATTTTCCTATATTTAGAACTTGCACAGCCTATATTTCCTATCAAATTTGTCTAAAAAGTGGCTGGGATGCCTGCTATAATGTAAACAATGTGGAAGTTGAATAATAGCAATGTTTTGAAGTCCAATGGCGTGGACTTTAAAATATAAAATGGTATTGATCTGTGAATAGCTGACTTATGAAGGAGGCTTGTGCATAGGAGTTTGTGATCTAAAAAAACAACAACAGCGTTTTGCATCGAATGGGAAACAGAAATATATTTCTTTTTAACAAGACATATTAGAAAATACTTGGAATTTTTGCTGTGATCAACAATGCATTGAGCGCCTAGCTCCTAATCCCCTGGTACTTACTTTTGTTTTTAGTTGAATGTTTCACAACCATCGATCTCAGTGAGGTTCTCTACACGTACTTCACCCGTTACGTTTGATATTTACAGAACAAAACATTCAACTCACATCGAATTATAAAGAGCAAAAACGGAAGAGAACAAATACATACCAAACATACTCTACACTTACATGTCGATCATCAAACCATAGTTAATAGTTAATGGAGCGAAATGGTTGGGTTTTTCTAATATGTTACATGTAATCTCCATTGTACTTTTTCTTATATATGTTGTTTTTTTTTTTGTTTCGGCTCTCAGGCCGAAACAGTCACTACATTCGGTTTGCCTGCCCATAATAATCTCCGTGCGTGTCATTTAGCTGTCAGAGTTTTGGACCTAATCCAATCACATGCAGTTTCCAGATCACGTGTATCGAAATAACAAGTTGATTGTGCGGTTATTAATAAATTGCCAGTCTCAGCTGCCTGTGAGCATTAATATTAAAGCTGGTGAGTTTATCTATGTAACTAACAGTTGATGCATATATATTTTGTGAAGCAAGCTTCCGATATGTCGTAGCTTCGTGCGCATCTGAGTATCCTACATTCAACATAGCGCGTACAGAAATGCTCATGTGCCAAAATATTTTGCACTTTGTACTCTGCTCTGTGCGATACTCGATCATTGTTTATATCTATTGACGGGATCTCTCATTTGTTCGGCGAGACGTTAAATGTATGTACGTTGCCCTGTTTTTCCACAAAAAAACTACGATGTTTCAAAGCAAGAACCACTAAAATCTTCAAAAAACTTAATTACGATGTGTTTCGTCCAAGAGAATTTTATAACAAATGTTTCCATCGAAATTTAAGACTTTGCAGCGTGGAAGCGTACCGTGAGAATTTCTGTTGGTGAAATATTGTCTCCGCCCCTTAGCAACATTTGACATTCCCTCTAACAACGGCACGTGTTATAAAGGAGAAATACTGCCTTCCAAAAACCATCAAGAACAAAATTCTTTTCAGCATTGCCACACAATAAGTAGATAACGGGCCGAAACATCATCGCTTTTGAAGCGATATAGGCTTGTTCTTGCTAATATGTTACTTATTTTTCTTTTTCTTTTTCCTAAAAACTCCAGAAACATTGTAATTATGTTCTGTGTAATCTCCCACGATGAGCTTAGCTTTTGGAGCGAACACAGAGTGTTAATATGTTTAAATAAATTTTAAAAAAAGTATCACGTGATGGTACGGTTCAGCCTCAAACGCAAAACAATAGCTTTGTTTTATGGAGTTTCCAAACCATTCTGCTCCATTTTTAACTATGCCTCGACTCAAGATCGACTTCACGGATGAGTGGATAGCCGAGAGGAGATTTACAGTCATTCTCAATCACACGCGCCGTTCTAGCGATTGGTTCTGTCTCGACGAAGAAGCTTTTGGTAGACGGCAATCAAGGCGTTTCCATGACATTCTTTAGGCACTTGCCCTTATAGCTTTGTGTTTTCGACAAAGTCATGGAAACGCATTGCGATTGACGTCCACCAAAACCTTCTTCGTCGGGACAGAAACAATCGCTAGAGGGCGTGTGTGATTGAGGATGGTTGTAACAGTGCAGTGTAAAAAAATGAAAAAATTAAAACGTTTGTAACAATACTGGCATTTCGGTCCTTCGTCAGCCTAATTAAATCAATGTTATTATTCAAACTTACTCATGAATCAAATATCTACTCTAAACAGCTCCCGGACAGTCACAGAGTTTCCAAGTCACCGTCCTTAATTCTACTGATGTTCGGCTGAATTGGGCTTTACCAAGTGAAAGAAATGGTATAATAAGAGGGTTCAAGTTGCGCTACGAAAAAGCTGATAGTTTGTCAGAGAAGGATTTACCTGGTAATACGACTCTGTCTTATGTACTGACTGGACTAGACAAGTGTACTCTGTACTCTTTTAAAATGTTGGCCTACACAATAAAAGATGGTCCTTATACATCTGTGATCCTGAAAACAACAGCAGAAGATGGTAAGTGTTCTAACTTTTTCGTTTTGATTGCGCGAGCTCTTGTAGTGGTATATTACAAACGTCCCATCCAGTCTACATCATCTACATCATCGCCTGTTGAAGACTAGCAGTTTGCAGTCGAAACGTCGTAGTCTTTCTACAAACGACCCTCATGGTTGCCTGTGGCAGGCCAGTCGTAGAATGCGTTTTTTTGTTTTTGTTTTGTTTTGTTTTATTTATTTTTTGTTTGTTTGTTGTTTTCTTTTTGTTTTTTGTTTTATTTTACCAATACGGCGGCCATCTTTGATTATATTGTTTTTAATTGAGACGTGATGCCGAGGGGGCAACTATTGGGAAATTTATAGACTGCACAGCTCTCAGGATGTCTTTTCATATGACTTTAAGGTTTTCAATGAGGAGCACGTCTAAAAAGCAATTGAATTTGCTGGTGATTGGAACAATATTTGAAACACCATGACTTCATATTATTTGATAAAGTTACCTTGCCAGTCTATGCTTTATACATATTCTACTGCCCCCTCGGCATCCAATAATTCAAGATGGCCACCGTATCAGTAAAAGGTCTATTTCCACGATGAATGATGTGTTTGGTTTTATTACGGCTGTCTTTGGCAAGCACTAGTGATTCATCTAATTTTTTAAAGATGCATGAATTCATACGTGTTTGGTTCTAAACAATACAAGTCTCCGTTTGTCACTAAAGAAATGCATCGTGTTCTTACAAACGGCTCAGGTGTTTTTTGTGTCAACTTTCAAATACGCGTTTGCGGTTGGGGTATAATTTATTTCTTTTCAACAGCTCCATCTGCACCTGACATTCTTAAGGCAAGCATCATTTCACCCAACGGTCCTTCAGTTCCACAAGTAACACTAACATGGAGTAAACCTGCAGTTTGTGGCGATAATATTCGCCACTACAAAGTGTCATACAACCATGATGTAGATCCCACTTTGAAAGGGGAAACTGTTGATAAGAGCCAACTAACGATAACGATTCCTGTGTGGGGAGGAGTGACGTACGAGTTTCGTGTCAGGGGAGTCACCAACAAGGAAGGACTAGACACACCCACAAAAACTGTTGTGATACCAATTTATTGTAAGTGAATATTTTATCAAACCTAAATAAATAAATAAATAAATAAATAAATAAATATAATAAATTGGATTTAACAGTGGCATTTTCACATAGTGGCTCTTTATTCACTGGATTCCAATTGGAATTGAAGTAGAAGTTGTTTTATTGACGAGGGAGGAAAATCGGAGAACCCGGAAAACCRTCAAGGCACAGGAGAGAACCAACGAACAACTCTTTTCACATAAGACTCGAACCMAGGTCRCATYGGTGAGAGAYGAGCTCTCACCGCTACGCCACCCATGCYTCCCTTTAGTGTACTGCRTACGTTTCTGATAAGTTACTSTGGATGCTGTTTTTTCACTTCTACAAATWTRTCTTCTTTTCTCATCTCCAGCTCCCAGTGTCTCACCKTCTAACTTMWCATTCAGCGAAGCTAAKAAAACAACATTYMAWRTGKCCTGGGAMGAGATTCCACGCAGCARATCTAATGGTCCTGTTATYRCTTATGAARTTAACCAGACCTTATCGAGAAGGCAGAAAGCTAGGAGATCTATTGATACTGCAGTTCAAGTGAAGCTGATGAACTCCTCGTGTTGTAGTCTTTATTTGCATGATCTACTGGTTTGCGCTGAGTATCTCATATCAATAAAAGGATACACAACGGCTGGACCCGGACCTGCCAGTAACGTCACATCCCTAGAAACTTCTGGTAATCGAGAGTTAGGTTTTTTGCCGAGTATATCATTCCTGAACCCATTCATCCATCCTTCCATCCCTCCCTCCCTCCGTCCCGGCTCCCTCTCTCCCTCCCTCCATCCATTCATCCATCCATCCATCCATTTATCCATCTATTCATCCATCCATTTATCCATCTATTCATCCATCCATTTATCCATCTATTCATCCATCCTTCCATCCCTCCCTCCATCCATCTACTACAACAAAAAGTAATAATGAGGTTTAATGTTAAATGGTTCGGCACCGTCTTACCTCAAGGGCATATTTGAAGGTTATGACGACATCAATTACGATCTCAGACGTTCTGACAAAAATTTGAGAATCCCCAAAGCAGAAAGACTAGAATCCCCCAGGACAGACTATTATAGATATAGTTTTACATTTACAGGAGCCCGGCTTTGGAATTCTCTGCCRAACGACATCAAAAACGAACAAARTATTTCAAAGTTTAAGAAGAAAATAAGGCTTTTCAACTTTAGCGCGAGCAACAAGTAACAATTTGTTCAATTTGGTTATTTTTACTTGTAAATTGTAAATATCAGCTAACTTTGAATTATATGTAATATTCGATTTTAAATTTGTAGTTCTACGGCCTCTAGGTAGAGCAGCTAAAATTTTATGCAATTTATAGTTGATGGAGATACCGTGCTTAAACAAAGATTATTATTATTATTATTATCTATCCATCCATCCATCCTACTCGTCCCATCCTATTGGTATATTATCCTATTTTATAACATTTCATTTAATAATAATAATGATAATAATAATATATAATATTAAAAACGAAACAAAAAAAGATAAGTGAATATATAAGAAATATAACATATATAAAAAAATCATTATTCAATAATCAATAAAACTTAATTAATTTAAATTTCATTCCTTTCGTTCCTTTACCATTCCATACACTGTTTTCTCAAATTCATAAATGATTCATGAGGACATAACAGAGAAAATCACTAGCGTTAAGGAGGTTTCATAATGTGCAGTTAATTATCATAAAATTTGGGCAATTTATGTTCCGATTTTTTTCAAGAATTCTTAATAGTTTGAGAAGTCATTTTTCAACTCACTTCTAGGTGTTTGGGAATCGGATAAAATACCCATTCACGTACGTGTTTGATATGTTACGTCCAATACTATCCATCCATGCAGCCTGCCATTAACCTCTAACCACCCAACCTCATTTCCTTTAGTTCTTCACTTCATTGCTCGCTTCTTTCTTTTCATTCTACGTTCTTATAGTTTATCTCCCCCTTTGCACATCTGTTTGTGCCCATGCACGTTCAAGTCTGACCTCATTACTCTGTTCTTCTTCCAATCATTTTGCATATAAATTTCTAAATTTGTGAATGACTGTATTCTTTTCAGCCCCAGGTCCTCCCTCAGGTCTTGAGGTGTTGACAACGAAGAAAAGAATAATTTCCTTAAGATGGCAAAAACCTGAATCAGTTACAGAAACAATAAAGAGCTATACGGTATGTATACACTGTAAATGATGACTAAACACAAATATTATTCACTATTTAAAAGATAAACAGACCACTTTTATCAATATGGAAATGACAAAGCTACGAAAATGTTTAATTGATTGTTTGTTTTCCATTACACCTTTCATATATTCCTTTATATARAAATTCAAATTCACCTATGATAAAATGCTTACAGTTAAGAAAATATAAGAGAAATAKCATAAATTCCATCGAGAAAATGGTACATTGTCTGTTTTCATGTTCGCCTCACATTAACGGTAATTTCGACCAAGGTATATAAAGTGTTTTCAAATGACGTCACAGCCGCCATATTGTTTGTAWTAATAACTTTGTTGTTATTTCATTTAGGTTTTATTTAGGTACACCGTCCAATATTGACCCGTGATAACCGTTTAGCTGATACTTGTCCCTTTTTGTTTCTCATTAGATTTCATTTGAAGGAAAGAAAAACTACAACAGTAGTTTTGTACACAGCGGTTTACTTTTGGATGAATCCACAGAGAAAGAGATACCAAACCTATATCCAGGTACTCTTTACACGTTCCAAGTGTCTGCCACCACTGCTTGTGGTAAAGGAGACTACAGTCTATCGTCATCCAGCAATACTAAGGTCGATGGTAAGTAATGATCCGAGAACAAGTGTCAGAAAGGGAAAATTCATTTTGAGACAAAGAAAAACCTTTTTTCCGGATATTATTTGAAAATTGAACTCAAGGACGATTTATATCCCCCAAACGGTTAACGAACACACACAAAAAACTTAAATAATTAATAAATGAATAATGACGATTAACAAGCAAATGAGACAAAAGTGTGGCAGGGGAAAGAATAAGTCTTTTGTATCTGCATTAGAGTGTTGAGTCTTTAAGTTATTAAGGTTAACACTTATGACACACAAATTTACAATAAACATCGTGTAAACCATGAGTATGGTTTTGATTTAATAAACACTTTTTGATTGAAAAAGTTTAATTAATACCCAGGTGACGTCACAGCAAAAAGTCTAAACCTTGATATATTCAAGATGCATCGCTCAAATCAAATGAAAATGTTTTATCGTTCAGCTGTCACTTCATGTAGAATTAATGCTAAAATTATTGTCTCAGGGGTTAGGGGCACTTTAAGTGTTGAAACATCAGTCAATAATAATTACGAATAAAGACAGAGCGAACTTAATTAAATTTAAAGTGTATATTCATWTATTACAGCTCCACCTGCTCCTGTTGTTSGATTTGTTGGTAACATCACGTCAGAAGTGAACAACATCACAGTTTGGGAAAGTTCTGACATCAATGGACCAATCAAGGCTTACCAGATCACTGTTATAAACGTAGATGAAACCTCTTCTATCGATGAAACGAAACTAAAAAGATACGAAGAAGCAGAAAAAGGAAAACTGCACTTCTACATTGCAGCAGAACTAAGAGAAGAAAATGGCAAGAAATTTCCAACATTTTTCACTCTTGGAGACGAGAAAGAATACCATGGATACAAAAATGTGAAACTGAAGCATGGGACAAAATATCAAATCTCACAAAGAGCCATGACGATTCAAGAAGATGGGGGAAAGAAGGTAGGAGATTCAGTTTATTTGACCACAACAAACTGTGTGAAAAACACACACACACACAAATTTATATACCCTGAGCAGGCATAAAATGTACTTTTCACTTGTAATTTAAACCGTCACCCGGTTGTCTTAGTCGCGGGAGCTGTGACGGCCTGTTGTAAGCGTTGTTGTGATGTTAGGCCTTTGCCATAACAAAACTTAGACTTTTAAAAGAATTTTGCAAATGGTAAGATCTTTAAGTCTTCTCGGATAAGGACGTTGAATCGAAGGCCCTGTCTGAAAGGCCTAGTTCAAGTTATATGCACCATTTTCCATACATCGCCAAGGTACTTTCAAAGGATTATTCAAATTTGAACCTTGCAACCTTGAGTGAATGCTTTGTGTTTGATCAGTGAACCGATGTATGGAAAATGGTGAATCTTCGGACATTCACAAGACAAATCCCTTGAGATGAGATTGAGGGTCACTACTTGAGGTATTAGGGGTGGTAGTAAGTACCAAAAGTAATATCATGCATGATTTTTTTTGATATAATTTTAATACTGAGAAGCAATTTCTCTCTCGATATTCTGTGTTTCATTATCTACAGACTTTCTTACCCGGGCTTTCGGCTTTGATCGCCACAGGACAAGTTCCAGTAAATAAAGGTGGGTTAGTTTGCTATAGTTTGAAACGGCACTTCTTTGTGGCTACTGCTTGTAAGTCCGTAAGTCCATAAATAATTAAGGAAGGAAGGAAAGAAGGAAGGAAGGAAGGAAGGAAAGAAAGAAAGAAGGAAGGAAGCAAGGCAGCAAGGAAGGAAGCAAGGAAGGAAGCAATGAAGGAGGCAAGGAAGGAAGCAAGCATACATTTCATTGTATTGAACCAAATGCCTCGACTTGAAACAATTGTTTGAAGGCTGCAGAGTGTAACTCCGATATCTGCTATTACAAGATCAAGTTCTTTTGCACATTATCAATCGAATCGAATCTTAATATATATAATAGGGGGTGGCAAGACACAAACAGGTGAYACCAATAATGGAGCGACTAAAGCTGCGATAGGTGGGGTGGTAGCTGTCCTCCTCGTGGTTGCTGTAATTGCAGGTGCAATATTCTTCTGGAAAAGGTAAATGACTATTTTTTGCGTTAATTACGACTAATACTGGATCTAACTTTGGGACCGTTAAGTGATGTTCATATTTTGATACGCGCGCGCGGGTGTTTCTAATAACAACAGTCTCATCCATACCTCTTTAGCCACGTATTGTGGATATCAAAGATTCCTGCGACTGATAAAACATTGTTATTTTTCAGGTTGCACTTTATTTTACTTGCGAGCTAGCGCTTCGCCCAGTGGGTAGGGAAAGGCTTGCAGTTGACGTTCGGATGTTTCCGGGCTGTTAGTACGGTTTTAACCGGACTGTTTTTAACTTCAGAAACACATTCCCTCTTCTCAGCATAGTTAATAGAGGGGAATGGTTAGGAAACCTATTGTTATCAGGTCTTTGTTTGCTTTTGATGTTGAACCGGTCTTGGCCGTGCACAATGTTTGATTTATGCTCATCCGAAATTGCAAAATAAGTAAACAAACTTTGTCTACGGGATTATTGTAAGGAATATTCAAATATCTCTTTAAAATCTTGAAGTATTTTGAACTAGCTGCCAAAAGAAAGATTTTGGTCTGTTCACTCGAGCCATTGCCAACAATGGTAAAACGATGGTAAAACAAAGGATCGTGCACGGTCACGCTTGAAAAAAGCGAACAATAACCTATAACAATAGAGTTTCCTAACCAATCCCCTTTATTCACTATGTTCTCAGTATAAAACATTGGTATTGTTCAGGCTGCACGTTATCTTATTTTAACCATGATTATATTTTTGTATGAGAATATATGAATGATATAATGATTATATTTCTATTTCAGGCGAAAAGGAGAAAGGACGAGAAAAAACGAAAGAGAAAGTCTAGATGATCTTGATAATGCCCTGGACTTAAACGACATTCAAAACGAACAAGACAAGAAAGGGTCTTCTACACCTAACAGTAGAACGAACCTTGTTGATCAAGGGCCAAACGGAGCAAGTAATAAGCAAGGTGATGTCCAATCAGCTGATCTGAAATAGTGACGTCCTCACGCAATTACGGACTCTTTCCAAAACAAACTCGTGCAAGTTATTTCCAAATTGCACTCGAAGCTATATTATTACCTATACTAATTGATTTATCTGCACAGCAAACAGGATTCTTACCCAGCTCTGCATCACTAAATGATGATTTTTGAAAATAAGAACCTGKTTTTCATTTTGTAGGCTAAGTAGGTTCTTGTTTAAGGGGGTATAAATGACAAATTTGAGGCTAAAAAAACCTACTCSCGGGCTTTACTGTAACTCATTAGTTATTGTGTCATTGTTACAAACCTGTTATAAGCAACGCTTTTATTTTCATTTGATGGCCTGGAAATCCATAATTTCAAGAAGAAAAGTGACACCTAAATTTTCTCGATTCTGATTGGCTAATATTTTCTCTCAGATCAGCTGGAATTAGCTGCATGAGTTTCTTATCCAGCCGTTWTGTGTCACGAACCAGAGAGGAGTCTAGTTTTAATAATTTAAATGCGCGGTAATACGAGTAACACAATCGTGCAACTTGTCGCGTAACCTCATTGCGTTGCAAGTTGCAGAGCGAATGTGGCTCGTATTACCACGCGCACAACAAATGTTCTTTATTGCAGAAAGTAGAAAGAGCTAGCTTCTACTTTTGGAACAAACTCGCGCAAMMATTTTTTTGTTTTTTGTTTTACGGGTTGSTAATACGACCAACAGTCACTCTCCGACTTGCAACGCAACAATGTTGCGCGACGAATTGCACRATTTTGCTGCTCGTATTACCGCACGTTTATAAAACTCTAGACTGTTGCAAACATATCATTTTGCTGAACGTCAAGTACTCACTATCAGTGGCTTTTTATCCAGGTGGTGGGAGTACTAACGGCGCATTACATGACGAAGATGCAGATCTGTACAGTAATGCCGAGACTGTACGACATCAACCTATCCCTATCAACAAGTTCCCTCRCTTCGTCACTGAAAAGAAATCAGGAGACCATTCCTTCAAGGAGGAATTCAAGGTAGCATTAGTTTGTCCAGTTACTAAGTTAATGTCTCTGGTATGACCTAAGTAACTCCTAGCTGTACTGTACCTTTCTTACTTACTTTAACCGTGATATATTTTGCGAATGTAYTGTGTATTTCAATAACCTGGCTAAAAGAAGAAACGTTTCCAGAAACATGTTTACCGCGCGCACTATGTTTCCCTGATGCGCACTATGTTTATAAGTTTAGCCACATGCGAAACATTGCTGCGTGCACTCAACAAATTTTGCTTCCAAGACGCAAAAGTGTTTCTGCTGTGCGGCAGAAACATTTCATGCTTCCAAGACGCATGGGAACAATGTTTCCCGATGTTTCATTGTTTAGCCACGAAACTCAATATTCTGAAAGTTCGTTACTTAGGGACGCTCGCTCTATCTTGTCAAAACAAGATGGCGGACGAGGAGGTGACAGTTGTAAACAAGAAAGGGCGAATGAGCTAACCGATGTTGAGTAAACATGTTTCCCGATGTTTCCTCTGTCAGTTTTGCCACCTTTGGAAACATTTAAGGAAACATGTTTCCTCGTTTAGCCAGCGCCTTTGTTYCTTTATTATGCTTGTTGGGACCTCGAGTCTGTTGTCAGGCTGTGTTAAGATATCAAATAAATAAATATGACTTCACATTATTAAGGGTATTATGGATTTTGAAAAAGTCACTTATCGATGCATTGGATTTTGAGACCGAATTTGGGTCTTGAGGTTTCCGCATTTATGCAACATTTGTCCTAAAAGCTTARTATTTCATAATGATCTTGTTTTCTTTGTAGACTTTATCAAATGGTCAACAATATCCTTGGGACAATGCAAGAACACCAATAAACAAACCTAAGAACAGATATGCCAACATTATATCATGTAAGAAAATTTCTGAATGAATATAAATTAATAGTTATTTATATAAAATATTTTGATGACTAAAGGATGATAGGATGTAAGCGATGACCAATCATCTGCTGCCAGAGGCAAKTACTGATAAATATAGCGATATTTGATTAATGACATTCCCAGATGCATTGAAGACATAAAGTGTGACGTCAGTCGTATGGGTCTTAAACGAAAAGCAATTCTATAAAGTTTTTCTTGACGATAAACCATTGAGAACATTTTTCGTTTGACTTTACATTAGCCGCTTTTGTGAGCAGGGAGACCCGGGAATACGTCACAACTCAAAATATATAAAAAACTCAAAAACTAGTTTTAGTTCAAAGTGCAGGATAGTGTCATGACGACKAATACTGAAAAAATTATATTATGTTTTGTTGATTCTCAGCCAAAGCATTTCGATCCTTAAGGGCACATGCTTCTCGAATTCCAAAGAACAAAATGCTTTTTAAGGTGACGTACACTAAAATCTAGKTTGTCTTCCATTTTAGATGACCACTCGCGTATTATTTTACAAGATTCAGAGGATGGTTCAGACTACATTAATGCTTCCTACATACATGTAAGTATACAGGCCAAACATGCAATTGTATATTGTTGTACAAAGTTAATATATTATCGGATATAGATAGTTTTATGCATAGCCAGTTATCCTACATTGAAGAAGAAACTGTCTCCGACCACRAGCAGAGTTGAGTGGCATTAATCAATCAGTGCAGACCTCGTCTTACAAGCCATCTACAAAAATTGAAATCTATATTAGCACTTCATGCATTTGGAATGTTATTTGAATATGAAATAATAATTAACTGAGAATTAGTATGTAAGTATAAAAATGCTTTCATTCTCAAAGAAAGCTCCAATGGACCCATTGCATGATGGAGTCATTTTACTACCACAACCAAAATGCTTCGTGAATTTTCTTTCGTATTCAAATTTGTATATTCTCATGACAAYAGTAAGACAATTRGTGCTAATTAACTGGACAAAAAAGTTTGCAAGGGAGTCTGGTAGTGGTAGTAAATGACCTATTCACTACTGTCAGTTGGCCAAGTAGTATGCGTTATTAACGAAGAATTGCAAATTTCGTGATAGGGATTTGATGGAACCCCAAGAACTTACATTGCTTCACAAGGTAAATTTGCCAACATGTYGTAAAGAACTCCATTACACTTCACTCCAAACCATCCCACCTTCTCTACGTCCCTTGCTGCAACTCATTTCTACCACACTGTCTTGTACAACATTCCACCCTTCTCTACTGTACTTCACTGTTCTTCACTTCATTTCCTCATCACATAACTGATCCTAACTCTCAACTCCATCCCAATCGTCTTCTATTTTAAATTTTCCTTACTACATTAACGTTTCCCTGCTAGCAGAGCCTATTTTCCTTTTGTTTTGGTTGAGAGAGAAAAATAGACTCTGYCGATGTAGGACGTTATTTCTGTCGCGCATGCTTGGCGTAACTTAGCAACGCTGTCATGATTTTGACAGCCGCTCTCGTCAAACAATGTTTGGCGCCACGGTGTCTTACATTTGCTCATGCGCACTACATGTAATCGGTTAAAAACCGGTTTTAAAACTGGTTTTGTTCGTCCACAATCGTGGACGGCGGTGTATCAAAGGAAACGCTCTACATCGGCAGAGTCTCCTTCCTCCCCGCCTGAAAGAAGAGAGAGAAAGAGAAGAGAGACTCTGCTAGCAGGGAACATTAACGTCTGCAAATCCTTCCCTCCGTCTTTTACTGCACGGCTCCTCACCTTTCTCCACTACAATACGCTGCACTCTACTTTACTCCATTCCCCCATTATACGTGACCCTTTTTATCATAGGCCCGATTCCAACAACAGTGTCAGATTTCTGGCTCATGGTGTGGCAAGAAAAAGTCAAGACTGTTGTTATGTTGACCAATCTGATGGAAGCAGGCAGGGTTCGTATTATGGGACTTACGATTAGCAAAATCTTTTACGGCGTTGTCAACCGGAAGTGTAAATAATTTATTTTGAGGGTTCTGTTCATTAGGGATTTCATCTAAAAGATTGTCAGTGAAGCCACTTCATCCACAGGGAAGACAGAGTCACTGCATTTTGGACGAGTTGCTGCAGATTAAATAAGAAACAAGTTGCTGCAAATGAAAGACGAGTTGCTTCAAATAAGAAACGAGTCGCTGCATTTCAGACGAGTTGCTGCAAATTAGACGCGAGTTACTGCAAATTTGTAAAGAACGTTCCATCAACCCTTCTATCATGCATGCAGCAACTCGTTTCTTATTTTYAGCAATTCTTTTTTCTTGCTGTATGTCCCATTTTTGCCACCCTACTAAAGTGGGTGGAATTCGTAACATTTTCTCTGAATTCTAGTCAAAGGGATTTTATCCAAGTTATAAAATCTGACTGAAAGACTGACTTGGACTCTTGTAGGTTCTTAAGCATTTTAGCGGTCCATAAAAATCTGGATGTAAGCTTGATATTTATCATATTTATATACATATATATTTCTCTCCGTCAGGTCAAGTGTCATCAATACTGGCCTGATAGTAAAGACACATATGGTCCAATGACAGTCATTCTCCATCGATCTGATGTACTTGCTGACTATGTCGTCAGGGTATTCTTCGTGTCTAAGGTAAGTTGATCAGTCAAACATCGCTCTTACTATTTATATTTAGAATAGTGGCACTAAAATTGCAATATACAAATTATGTTGCTACCAGACCTATCATTATAGCATTTCTTTTGACAAATTTCAAGATCAATTTTACAGAGTTTTTTTTTTTTTCATAGAGAGGCGAAGAGGGAAAAATCCAGGTTAACCATTTCCAGTACACTGCCTGGCCTGACAAGGGAGTGCCACAGCATGCTACTTCGGTGCTTGGGTTCAGACGAAAAGTCCGTGCAAACTATGCTTCTGTTGGAGGAGAGGGACCACTGTTGGTACATTGCAGGTATATAGGTCGTATAAGAGTAAATTCCTAAAGGGAGAGGAAGCACGTGGCTATTTTGTGACATTCTATGACAGTGGTGCGACTTCAATATGCTACTGCAGACAAGAATTATGACAACTTTCTGTGCAGCGTGCGACATTTTTGCCGCTATTTTTTTTTTTTTTTTGCATTATTGGTAGCGTGCATCCTTTCCCATGAGAATAAAAGGTCAAATGAAGTGACCGCCATGTTTGTTGACAAAAGACACCAAGACCAAATCTTTTGTCAAGTCAAGTCAAGTAACATGACGTCACATGAACGAGGACAAAATAATGGCTGCCATGTTGGTTGACATGAAAAAAAAAACAAGTTCAAACTTTATGTCAATGACAACCAAACGTAGTTGCTATGGCGTCACATGCTCCCCCAAAAACACGTGATGCTGCTGTTTCTTTTATTAAAATTGACAACAAAAAATCTTAGCGTTAATTGCCAGCACACAAAAAACCTAATAGCAGTTGCATTGGTAGCTTCTCCAATACCAGAAAGTACTAGTGATGCCAATGTATATTTTTAGATCCTGAGTTCTTCTATTTAATTCTCCTTYATTTCCCCCCGTTTTGAATTCATTAAATCTCATGTTTTTCCCGTTTTCAGTGCTGGTGTTGGTCGCACAGGGGCCTTTATTGCTGTGGACGCGATGCTGGAGCGAACAAGAAAGGACAAGACTATCGATATTTTTAACTTTGTCCAAATGATGAGGAATAACCGTATTACAATGGTCCAGACCGAGGTGAGGCTAGATGCCAGATATGGAAGGAAGGATTTGCATAAAAAAGCAGACAAAAAAAAACGGCAAGCCAATAAAACAAAAAGTAATTAAAAAAAAAAAAAGAGAGAAAACAGACAGACAGACGACTAGATATTTTCTCTTTGAATTCACCGAATAATTTGAATAACTTTTGAACTGGACTTACTAGCCTCTCATATATATAAAAACGGTTTTATGTTTCCACATGAACACGAGGCTAGTCAGTCAATAACAATAGCTGTTCAAAGTGGTCGCCATTTTGATTCGGTGAATGAGAATGAGTTTCGTCGAAAAGGTTCCAAGGGATGCTTCCTTTGTACTCTTGACTTAGGTACTTTCCATTCATCTTGTAATCACAGGAACAATATGCCTTCGTGCACTATGCTGTCCTCGAAGCTTTRACCTGCGGTAACACAGAAGTACCTGTCATGAATCTGAACATCGTGATGGGCAAGTTATCCAAACCAAGACCCAAAGACCAAATGATTGGCTACGAAGTGGAATTTAAGGTATGGAMAATGACTGTTAAATGTACGGGTCGGCATGCGTTGCTAATGCGCCACCTCTCAGCAATGCGAACCGGGTTCGAGGCTTATATGAGTAGAGTTGTTTTGTTGGTTCTCGCCTTGGCTTCGAGGGTTTTTCCTCCGGGTTCCCCTGTTTTTCCTTTCTCCACAAAAATACACTTCCAAATTTTTATTCGATCTATAGCTGCCTTCTTAATTGGGTTGCAAAACCTGTTATGCATTAAGCCATTCTCCCTGAAGTGTTAAACGTGCTAGATTAGATTMTGGAAAGGTGGAGGAATTCTTCAATCAGGGGTCAAATGAACGAACGGAAATGGAACTATCTGTATGTTCCCCTTATGTATCGATCTATTGCTCAGTCGTTTGATCGGTCGGTCGATTATTTGATTTAAAAAYAGTGGAGTGGTTGGTTTGTTAGTTGATTGAATAAATAGACCCTTTTCGAGTTCCAAATTACCGCTGTGTTTCTTGATTACAGACTCATTTACTCAGGCTTAGCCTCGAATGTGTGAAGAATATTCACGTGTTCCAGACAAGGGTCGTCAAGTTTCAAAGTGTTCGTAATGTTGAAGTTGTGCATTCTTTACTCTACCGTTGGTATTTGCAATTAATTAGACACTGATTCGAGGCTAAGCCTGAGTAAACGAGTCTGTAATCAACACAGCGGTAATTTGGAATTCGAAAAGGGTCTATTGGTGGAGGGGTTGGTTTGTTAGTTGATTGAATAAATTGGTGGAGGAGATGGTTGTTTGGTTAGCTAGTTGGTCTTTCGGTGGCTTAGTCCTGTGGCTTTTCACAAACGTTTGTTTGATGAATCTAAAATTTAACATTTGACGTCTAACATTGACATAAACCTTGGCACAAGCATTCACAATGCTACTTTTTTTTTTTTTCTTGTCCAGCGTCTTAATCACATATCTCCAGCACTCCTTACTGAGGAATCAAGCGAAATTGGACAAAGAGAAGAAAACATGGCAAGAAACAGATATCCTGATGTTATACCATGTAAATATTAGCAACTGAAACTGCAAAGGAAACTATATCGGTGGTTGGTTATAATTCCTGTTATACATGACTATTTGYTTTCTAATTTCAGTGGACTGTGCGCGGGTACTTTTGTCGAACGAAAAACAAAATTATATCAACGCCTCCTTTGCCAATGTAAGTAATAGAACAGTTTCGAATTCCAAATTACCGCTGTGTTCCTTGATTACAGACTCATTTGCTAGCCTCGTATCAGTGTTTAAATATTCACAAATACCAACAGTAAAGTAAAGAATGCACAACTTCAACAATACAAACACTTTGAAACTCGACGGACCTTGACTGGAACACCTGAGTATTCTACACAAAGTCGAGGCTAACCCTGTGCAAACGAGTCTGTAATCGAGAAACACAGCGGTAATTTGGAATTCGAAACGGGTCTATTGTCTCATTTACTTTAGGTCTGGCTTTACATACTATACCCGCCCAAGTCTTATAACTTCATATTTGTGTGATTCATGTTTTCGTACATTAAAAAAAAACGCCCTATGAATCCTGACAAAAAGCCCGATATTTAGCCAACATATTTTCGCAGAATGTTGGTATGTTGTTGTGTTGTAAAAACACGGTATCACAAACGAGCCCATCAAAATCATCCAACATCATCCAACATCAAAATTCACAGTCAAAAATTCAGTGTTGGCAAACGGTCCCAGAATTTGACCCAACAAATGCCAGCTGTCTCTAGGTTTAAGAAATCCAGTGGTTTTGATATTTCGAGAAACGTACCAAATGCTATTCTTATATAGCCCTCATGTTTGTTGACTTTGTTAGAAGATATGTAGCGACCATACGTCTTTTGCCCTCTTTAATTCCATGGCATGAGATGTATTCCACCTATTAATTCCCCCTGACTCCCGAATGGTGTAATTTATAATGATCCAATGGCATGTGGCATTGCTGTAAAGTAGCTTTTAGCTAAGCTCRTTGACCACGGTAAATCAAGGTTATTATTAAAATTTCTCATGCTCATTAATAATACATGAGTAAATCAGCCAATCAATGGGCTATTTTTGGGTCACATGATGTTACTTGAAACCTGGTAAACTCCTGTGAAAGGAATGCATTCAGTCTGGAGTAACTGGAACAAAATTAATTCAGTCCTAGGACTGAATTAATTTTGTTCCAGTTACTCCAAGTCGAATAATTAATGAGCATGAGTAGTCATTTCAAAGCCTCCAATATTGGACTGGACGGGATTTCAAGTCCGAGCAATAGCGCAGCGCAGCCGTGACTTCATAAAATCGAAGACAAAGGCGAAATTCGGACAAACAAACTTACAAGTTTACTTTTAGYAGATAATTTTCACAGCCGATCGCAGTTGATCTTAGTTTACATAGGTTATTATTGTAGCTTTAAGTAAAAATAATAAAATCGGTTCGTATAATCCTCGTAGCGGTTAAACAGAATGCAATGTTTGTCCGAATCTTTAAGCTATTTTTAGAATCAGCGCGCTGCGCTAYTAGTTCCAGTCCAAGGCGCATCCCGTCCAGTCCTCATTGTCGGTTTTGAAATATAACTTGTTTTGTGTAATCTTCGTCTCCAGGCGTATCGAGAGCGTAACGCGTTCATCATGACCCAAGCACCTTTGGAAAACACCATCTATGATTTCTGGCATATGGTCTTTCAGTACAAGATTGGTTCAGTTKTGATGCTCAATATCTTGCAAGAAGAAGACGAGGTAAAGACTATTGCACATGCGAACCTGGGGAGGGGAGAATTTTGGACATACTTATGTGCAATGCTCCAGTTTCAAGTTCTCTGTTGCTCAGGGTTAGCTTCGACTTTGTGCAGAATATTCATGCATTCCAGTGAAGGTCCGTGGAATTTCAAAGTGTTTTTAATGCTGAAGTTGTGCATTCTTTACTTTATTGTTGGTATTTGTGAATATTTAAATACTGATACGAGGCTAACCCTGAGTAAATGAGTCTGGAATCAAGAAAAACAGTGGTAATTTGGAAATCTGAAAAGGTCTGCACCCTAGGCTAGTCAAAAATATGTAGGCACTCAGCATTCAAGCTTGTTRAGTGCTTTATCTGGGAAAAATTGCTATCCCGTTTTGTTCACTTTGTCTGATGTTCACAAAAGTCAACCCTACGAATGGTTAACCGGAATACCACGCACTCGAATTTAGACATTTTTCAAAGATTCATTGAACCTGAGTTCTTGTATTGGGTAAAAACTATGTATGCGTGCTCCTGTCGATGTTTTTGTAAATGATTGTGCCCATTAGCTCTCCTAAAYCAAGGAATGTTCATCTCTTTTCAGATCTTCACTCCATATTTGCCATCTGAAGGCAAACAGTCCTATAACCGTATTAGTATCGAGATAACAGATATTGAAACCAAGGGACCGCTAGTGATCAAGAAATGTAAACTGGTACATCCAATGGTAAGTYGRTYATYACYTGACCAAARGGGGCTTTCATTTAYTAGCACATGGGTRGAGGGGTYAGCAATGTTTTTAAAGCTTTCCATGTGATTTTGCCAAATCCTCTAGGTGTATGTAATATCATAYGCATACATTGGTTGGTGACAAATGAATCTTAACGGGATTTAAAATCAGAGACTTACAGCAATCACGTGCTAACTTACTTTACTGTTTTAAAACTTAAAAAGAATCGTCCTTGTGTCTATGCAACCCAGAATAATTGCACAAGCATTAAATTTACTACTGAASTTCTTTAGTTTGAGGAACTTTTTTTATGACTTAAGTTGACCTATAAATATCTCTGTAGCTGCGATTGCTCAAAGTCCATAAAAAGGAGCGCATTCCCACGTCGTTTGCCAAGTTACGTCGTAGAATGATACCTGGTTTCACCTTACGTTTAWTAACAAATTTACTGTTTCAATAGGAACCACAAGCGCCCCATAACTTCATTCACGTGCAGCATACAAAGTGGCCCAATCAAGGTATACCAGAGAGTTCTCAAAGTGTCCTTGATATGGTGACGATAGTGCAAAGGTCACAGCAACAAAGTGGCAACACGCCCATTGCAGTACAGTGCAGGTAAGATTTTCTAAACAGCAGTAGGGAAAGCTTCAATCAAGTTAGAGAAATAATATTTTGCTYGTATTTAAAGAGCTAACTAAACAAACCGAGAAAATAATTTGTTTACAGCCATTCTCARTCACACGCGCCCTCTAGCGATTGTTTCTGTCGAGACGAAGAAGATTTTGATGGACGTCAATCACAAGGCGTTTCCATAACATTCTAGGAAAACGCAAAGCATAAGGGCACGTGCCTATAGAATGTCATGGAAACGCGTTGATTGACGTCCACCAAAAGCTTCTTCGTCGCGACAGAAAATATCGCTAGAGGGCACGTGTGATTGAGAAAAAGCTGTAAAAGTCATCACATTCGTACGGAAATCCAAGAACAACTGTCCGAAATTCTTGGTGACCATGRCACAATCCAACACGTTTTATATCACGTGACTGCTAGCTCGCAAAAGGTGAATCGATTAAGACATTTGTATTCACTTAAATGATTATTTTTCGTTTAGTGACGGGGTTGGAAGAAGTGGTACCTTTGCCGCCGTGTACTCTTTACTGGAGAGAGTGAAAACAGAGCAAGTTATCGATGTTTTCCAAGCAATTAAGGTCCTTCGCCTTGGAAGGCCCAATGCCGTCAAAACACTGGTAAGTATACGACGGTTTTCGTATGACTGTGAAAAGCTAACTTCAGGAATACGGGGTAATGACACGGCAAGCGATTCGCCAGACTATTTGAGAATTGCTTGAGAATTTACTCTCCATCCAATCAATTACTCGAAACACGGCATAAAAACGGCGCGGATACAGTCACGGAACGGTTAGTTCAATAACATTGCTCAARAAAAAAATCAGCCAATTAAAATTATACAAATCATCRCGGTCACAACACGGAACGCTTATGGCACTAAGCTTTTCAAAGTAATACGGATACTGCTCTAACAACGAGAGTTAGTATTCTTTGATTGCAAGTTACGTCATCGCGGCCTCTCTGGGGAGCGCTGGTGCCATTTAACAAAATATTTGTTATTAGCATCCATTGTTAACGGCACCACAATGGCCGCCATKCTTTTATCTCTTGACTCTCTTGGGAATGCTTGCAACCCACCAATYGTGGGTTTGTATCAGATTAAGTAGTGGCAGTGAAGTCTCTTTTAGGCTTAGGGTAGTTGGTTCCAAATGGGTTGCAAATCATCAGCCAATAGGCCCTTTGCTGCTAACGGTCACGTATCTATACTGGTGAGCAAAATGTTTTTTATCTTCTTATAAATTGGTGATACTTTTTAGCTACTTGTAAAGAATTGAACGAAAAGGTGTGCAACCAGTGTGTCACAAAATGCAGTTTTATTATTGCGATCTCTCGAAGCAGGTTGTAGAAATTTTGTTTGCTCACCAGTATATTTCACCCATGGGAATCAAAATGTTCATTCATTTGCTCTCAGTGAATTAATCAGCACGTGACTACTGAGCTGCAAAGGGGCGTATTGACCTCATTCGTCTAAGTACAATATTTACCCATTCCAGACCACGTGTCACTCCCCCAAAAAATTAAAATAATTTTAGTTGTTCCCTTATATTCATTTGTCTTCTAATGCACAACGGTTAAGAAAKAAATAATACTCAAGGGAATGACACTTGGTCTGTATTGGGAAAACATTATAAATTACGCCCAAATAAAAGAGGCATATTATGTAGTGCACTGACGACTGTTTCAACGGTATTCAATAAGAATGACACAGGAATCCTTGATATGTAATAGTCGATTCATTTGGTTCMCACGAATTTTCTTATACTGCTCTTCTTTTAAGCATTCTTTATACAATTAACAGGGGTAATCCCTCAGCTCAAAATCCAAATATGTCCTTTTAGATTCAGTGGTTCAATCACGGGGTTCCCATATTTAGATACAAAGTGAAAGGCTCAATAGGATGTAAACGTTGACTCTGACTACCAGAATTCTTGCACACTTTCTTTCAATTTGTTTAGTTAATCAGCACTGATTGTCTTCCTATTGTCATGAGGAAATACGAATTTGAATGAGAAAGATAATTAACGAAGGGTCTTGGTAGTAGAAGTAAAATTACGACATCCTGTGTCTTTTWTGTAATATATACAGTATGAGTGTCCGTGTTGTATACGTTAGTATAAACTCGAGGCGTAGGCGAGGCGTATGCGTATTTTTATTGTGCTTTCCTCATGAATTATTTATGAGTTTATTAATTTTTATTTATATGTATAGTATAGGCTAACATATGTATAATTTCCCTATATGCATGGTACCAATATCGTTTACGTAAAAAATATTCTATTTTTACGTACTAATACGTCATATTCATCTTCACAGGTGCAATACAAGTTCTGCTATATGATGGTTCAAACCTACCTGGATTCATTCAATGATTATGCCAACTTCAGTGAAGTATAAAACARGTTGTATTTAGGACTTAAACTAGCTACAGTTGACTGAGCAAAGTTCAGCCTATCTCATTCAGCATCATAATAGGCCATTTACATGAAATGCTTATATTCTGCATGAATGGAATGTCAAATATGAATAACTCCAAATACTCCATTTTACAGTTCCGTTCAGTGACCACGAATAATAGCTCCAAGCCGAGGCTGGAGTTACCGCGCATAATAAACTGTAGTTTTGCTATGCGCGGTAACTCCAACCTCGACATGAAACTATTCTATTCGTGGTCACTGAACGGAACTGTAAAATTGACTATCGAATGGTTTGCAACCACTTCCAACGGGGTGGCCATGTTGGTACCCTGGGTTACAGAGGCTCTCCCGCTCCGGTGCTTCTCGGGCGCTTTTTCCAGAGTCTCTGAAATCCAGAGTACCATGTTGGTAATATTAACAAAGAAAGCTAATAAGAAATAGTTTATTGAATAGAATACGACAAATACGGCGACCATAAATAACTTAGGCCTAGGGCAAACATCGAACTTTCCATGCACCGAACTCATTAAAAACAATGGATATCAGGTGATAATGAGATGGCATTCTTTGATGTAATTAAGTTCGGTGCATGGAAAGTTCGACGTTTGCCCTAGGCTTTAACGCGCAAACAGAGAATACTTAATATCGAAAAAAAAAAAAGTGTTTTGCCTCCAAATGATGGTCATACACAACAAGAGTTTTTGTTATGACAAACAGTTAAATAATAACTGTGTTTTTTTTTTGTTGTTTTGTTTTGTTTTTGCTATAACACTGTAAATAGCTTTATACTTTAAATTAGATTTATAGTATTAGATATTTTTTGACTTTTTACAGCTTGACTAGTTACGGGAATTTTTAGGAAAAGTGAAGGACTGGGAAATTGCTCTATCATCATTTT